TTCAGTGTTTTTATTACCGAGCAACAGTCAATGTCGAACGAACGACACGTTGAGTAAGAGCTCGACTTGATGAAGTAATTACACGAAACATTTTGTAAATAAATCTAGAATATTTATAAACATCTTGCAGACATGTGAAATAGAATAGTACTACTAACTATTGCTCTAAACTAGATGAATAAAGAACTTTCTTTATTAAAATATTACTTTTCTACTTACATGTTTGTTTCTAGGGTGATCCATGTATTACTCTTTACGTGTACCCAAAAGAAGCTTTATGGAATTTTAAACAAATATTGTGCATGTACGACATCTATCGGCTACATATCAATGTAGTTTGAACTACTCGATGAAAGTCAATTGTATCTGATAGATTCATCTTGAGAGTGTGGATGTGGATATAGCAGAAAAAACATTCACTAAGCACCATCACTCACACTCTCGTTTTCATTTCAGTTCTTCTGTTTTGAATGGTTGTAAATCGGTAAAATTTACAAAAGCATTGAACTAAAAAGTAATGGATGAGCGAATTTCGTACAAATTTAGCTTCTCGTTTGTTTAATAAGATAAGTTTATTCAGAAGAAATGAAAAAAGTAAAATCTTGCTTAGAAGGAACGCAGAAATAGAATCTTGTTTAGTAGGAACACAAACACCAGAAGCAAAGAAAAACATTATTAGATACTTAAATAAACGATAGTGTTCATATGTCTGTTGGGAAAATACTCTAACGTCGTACACATTGTTTGTTTGTAGCTATTTGCCCATTTGAATCGGTAAATGTTATGTCTGCACATTGACATTTGCAACAATCTAAATCTTGTTTACATTTACTTTGTACTGGACAACTGGTACCACATATTGGTGTAATATTAGGATTAGCGCATGAACCATAAATGTCAGTTGCGTTATGTCGATAACACTGGCACTCAAGCGGAGCAGGTTGACAACAATCGGAATTTGTTGTACAATTTTGAACTGGACAACAAGTACTGGAAGCTACTGTTGTTGTTAGTGTTGTTGTTGTGGACGTAACAGAGCACAGAGATGATGAAGGATTGCTCTGGCAGTAGATAGTATTGTTGCCACCCGTGCAATACTGCGATTGTGGATTGTAACATGCCCCAGAACACAGTTGACTTCCGATTGTACATACTGTACCATTGTTATAATCCAGACAAACACTTGTTGTAGTATCATAACATTGTTTTTGTGGGCCACAAACACGAGCAGTTTGTTGAGTACTGATGTCAAATGCAATATA